GGGAGACGTAGCAGGGAGGACGGAGGTAATTTGAGCGTCACACGCCGAGCGAGCGAGCGAGCGGCAACGAACGAACGCCAGGCAACGTCTATGTGCTACATAAAGAGGCTCCCCCTATCCTCCCCCTTATGTATCCAACCCATCGCGAACCTACGATGTGACGCGACCCATGTACAACGCGTCCCAAAAGTCCCGTGTTGCTTGCCTGCTGCCTGCTGCCTGCCTGGCTGACTGTCTGCCTGCCTGCCTGCCTGCTTTCCTGCCTGCCTGCCTGCCTGCCTGCTTGCTTGCTTGCCTGCCTTTACCTGTCCTCTGCCTGGCTGCCTGCTAGTAGCCTGGCTCTGCTTCGTAACCCGGTGTGTCCCAGAGAGAGAACCGCGCTACTCTGTGCCGGGATATAGCGTATATGAGAGACCACGGGCGCTGGGCAAGCACTAGCTGGGAAATGACTTTAACCCGGGTTATCGAGGGACGACGATGTCGACGACGACGACGGAACGAAACGGAGGATAGGAAGGAAGGAAGGAAGGAAGGAAGGACGGAAGGTGGTAAAGGGGGAAGGCTACGAAATTTTTCAGGAGCGACCCATACTACGGTGAACATTGTAAAGGCAATGATGTTCTTCTACACTGTCATAGGATATCGGTGAAAATCTTCCAACCAAAGGGAACGACCGCGTGGGTGTGGTTTTTGGCGGCAAAGCTTCCTCTTCTTCGAGAGTTGTAATGAGTGTAAGAGTGTATACTTACGTACACCGATGCAGCTATACATATATACCTGTACGAATACTTTCATCGATGATTCGCATTCAAGCCTTCGCTAATGTGTGTGTATTTTCGAGGACGCAAGCGGATGCTTGTTCCTCTCTTTCCATTCCTTCGGCTTGGTTTATCACTTTTGTCCGTCCTATGAGATTTTTCTTCAGAGTCAGAAGCGTTCATGCGTTAGTGGATCGATCAATATCGATCCATCTTCTTTCTAGATCAATCTTTCTTCGAATATTTCTCAACACGCGCAACTCGTCATTCTTATCAGTGATCGGTTGATTCGAAGGAAATCGACTCGAAGTATTTCTAGAACGATCCCCAGCTGGTCGATCGTCATTCAAAATTTCCGCGGGGCCAACTATTTTAGGTCACGGTATTTCGGCGATTCCGCCTCGATGGAACGCTCTCCTAGACTGGGAAAGAATGGACTCGGAGAGTCGTTGGAAACTCCACTCTGGTATCTCCGAGTTCCATCCTTTTATATCTCGAACATTGGTATGTATATTAGTAAGTTGCATAATAAATTGGAATAATGGGTAGAAGAATTTGAATATTAGACAATTTTGATTCAAAAATATATAATGATTGTTGAAAATCATCAAATTTTGAATAAAAATTTTTACGTTAATTTATATAAAGTAAATATTAAAATTTCGCGACATAAAAATACATAAAAAAAAATTTATGAATTATCTGATATCATAAAATTTGAAAGAATTGAAAAATTGAAAATTTAATCTGAAAAAAAAAATATATATATATTTGTTTTGCTCTTTTCTCTTAAATATTAATAAATATCTGTTAAGATTCTTTCAATTTTATCTTTCCAAAGAAGCTAAAATCAACAATCAAATACTTTCGCATGCCATAGGGATTGGTTTGGATATTAGAATAGCTGCAAATGCTTTAATCTTTATAGAAATAATAAAGTTTTTATATGTGTACATACACATATATATTATTTTTACAATAATTTGATATTGTAAAATAAAATAAATATAAGTAACAATAATAATAACAATGAAAGAACGTAAATTTTTTCAAAAATAAAAAAAAATTGTACACACATGTTAAATTTCTTAATGCTTTAATAGAGAAATGGTTCCGCCTTAGAAATGTGATTTATGATCAAACTCTGAGAATGATAATTTGTTTACCGAGCAAACCTGCAAAGAGGGTTTCTCCCACTCTTTCATATTCTCCACGCTTTCTCCGTCGTTCGTTCATCGTAATATGTATATACCTTAGGACGCGAGTCGTATGAATTTCCATGGCACGATCGCGTCACGGCTTCGACCACTTCACACCTGTTATTATTATAAAACTCTGTCGGATGGTGTTTTCGATATGCGCGTGCGCAATTGCGCTATAACATCGTCAAAACATATCACGAGTCACGCGCAATTAATCTTGATTATCATTGATTTTGTATCGTTTCATATGAACTTGTTAGAATTAATTCTCAGTATTATATTCCTTCTTCGATTTTATTATGTAATATCAGAAATTGTACTTCTCGAACACATGAATTATGGATGCTAAGATTTTGACTTCAAACTTAACCTCACTCTTCATAACATGAAGAATCAAATTTCATCTCGATTCAACACATGATGAAAAGTATGAAAAATATGTACGTATTTTTTTATATAATTTAATCAAATTTTATTATATCGATTTTTAAGATTTTTTATATTGTTTGAAATATTTGAAAATATTATTTGAATTATTAAGTTTAACATATATTTTATTTCGAAACGATTGGTAATATCAAAAGATTCATTTAAATCAATCATAACTTATAAAAGAAAGTTAAGTTATCGTAACATTACGGATATAATAGTAATTTCATTTACTTAAATAAATAAATTTTGTATTTATATTTGTAGATTTTTATTTGTTCTTTTTTTTTCTGTTTATAAATTTAATAGTATTGTTCTTTGAATATGTCTATAGATATTGCAATTTGTAGGTGAGAATGACGGAGATATAGAGCGTTCAATTTATGAAGTGGTTATGTTCGAGGTTTGATTAGATGTTTGTTTAGGCTGGGAATTGCTCGGATGTCGGTAAGTGTTTGAATTCATACGGTACATAACTTCTGGTTTTATTATGCTCGTAACCTTGAACGTCCTTGTACGATGAACCCATATATCACGCTACTCTCTGCAACTCGGGAACAAGGTCAAAGCATGTACATTTGCAGCAACTTCTTTTATCGCTTTCGCTTTCTGCGGCCGATGATCATACTTATAGCGTGATATTACTTTTTGCATATTAACAGTATTATTCAAAATATAATAATCGTTATCAATGTAATCGTGTGATCAATGATTGTTTTTCCTCGGTTTAATAAATAGTTAAATAAATTTAATAATTAAAAATCGATAAATTTTATAAATAGAAGAAAGAAAATTATATTTTACATTATTATTTAATTTTTACGATTCTATCGATCGAGAAGCCAATTTTCTACAATTTATTAAATTATCTTTCTATCCATTTTTTAACTATGATACTACGATAAAAAGAAAAAATACAAATAATCATTAGTTATAGAATTCTAATTTTTGAGATAAATAATTTTTCTTCCATTCTTGGATTGTTCTCTTCATTTTTGTTTTCATCTTCGTGACCCTCATGAAAAAGAAAGAAAAAGAAAGAAAATAAACGTTGCTCGATATCGGCTTCGACTGTCACGAAAATCCGGATTGGTCGCGGCGACTGGCGATCGCATAATGGGCACGGGAGCGATGATAATGGGCGCGCGCAGCGTCTTTCGAAACTTCCTATCGGCCGGTGACGTCGTCGTGTACATCCTGTATAAGTACATACGTATATGTGTGTGGCATCGAGTATCGGTATTAGGGCGGAACGAACAGAGGGTGTATACACGCGATGCTTGTATACGTCGCAAACCCACGCACACTTATGCACACCCACATATATCTATACACTCTTTCCTTGACGTGTGCATGTACATTACCTAGCAAAAATTTGAAATCACTTTCTCGGTACCTATATAAAATCTTATATAAATTTTTCTAATCATTCGAAATTAATTCTATGAATATTACTTAGATGATATAAAAATATATTATAGTTACCATAAAGATATCTGTGCTATCTTTGCACTATTATTATTAAAACTATACAAGTTGTAAATGAGAAGTTATCATAATGATTACAACTCTTTCCTTTCTTTTATATCATTTTCTTAAATATATCATATCCATTCTTCATCTTAATATTCTAGTACAAGAATTTACCATTCGAATTTTATCAAGCAATAATTTTTCTTCCTGTAATAAATTTTTTTCGAAATTCCATCGTAATAGATAATAGAATAAAAATTATGAATTTTGTTATCGAAATTAAAATAAATTCACTGATTTTTATCAATTTCTTTCTAAGTTCTAACTTTTTCCCCTAGATTTTTAAAATCGTATCAACTTACAGCGATTGGAAACTTTTGTTCGATAGTGTATATCCGCGATGTCGACGCGACATACACCGCGTTCCGAAAGGCTTCCTGCCATATTCGAGGAGATAGAGAGTACTACACATTCGTTGGTTACACACGCGATAAAGAATCGTTCGATGGGCGGTGGAGAGGGGCATAGACGAGCATTAACGAAATTGTTGTGGCGTCACCGATTCACCCACCCTCTGCGCACACCATCCCATACTCCTCATACTCGGGTCCCATTTTCACCCTCGTCGACGTATGTGGCATTCCTGAAGTCCTCGGCCGCGATATCGCCGTAGGGTTGATGAAATTGGTACGTTGATTAAATTGTTGCTCGGAGCTGTCGAACAGCCGCGACCAGCCGCGAGTGAGCGCGTGTCCGATCGAACGGCGTATACCACGATCGACCACGTCTACCCTCTTCTCCCCTCCCTGCTCCTCGTTTAACGATGGATATTAATCTTGAGCGGAAAAGTTGAACGAAGTCGATGATTCTTTCATCAAGATTGAATAGTCGATGGGGTTGGTTTCTTGTACGTTGAATGCAATGTTGGATAGAACGATTAACCATTATAATTGAATTTTAAATTGTCAATAAACGATTAACCATTAAAGTATTTTATTTTGAACCTATGTAAGGATCAAGATATTTATAATATAAGTTGCGATTGCGACGATTAAAAATTCGTTACACAGAAAGATAAGAGGATAAAAAGAAAGTCAATTTTTGTAATAAATCATGGCGGATATCCAACGACTTAGAGGAGGATCTTGAACTACAGATATGCGAAAAAATTCGGGTCGATGTCAGGAATCGCTTTTGAGATTTGCTTTTTTCATTTTTTCTTATATTTTTTGTCTACTCGCGTGCGGTTAATTGTTTGATCACCAATTAAAGATAATTTAATACTCTTTGTAGAAGTTTCTCATTCTATTTCTTTTTTCTCGCTTTTCTAAAAAAATTAAAAAAAAGAATTATAACATAAAGAAGAATTTTCAATTCGTTTACAATTTTATTCTCATATATTTCTTTACCGTATCGCGTAATTAAGTGATTTTATATGAAATACAAAATTTAAAGAATAAAAAAGAAGGGAAAAAGAAATTTCCTTAGCCGTAGAAAGAATCTGATAAGCGATTTAGTATTAACTTAAAAATTCGAGGCACGCGTTTGAAACACGCTGTATGAGGCGATCTTTATTAAAGTCGGCCCGGCTCGCTAAAGGGGATGGCAGATTTAAACCTTTCTCCATCGTACCAATTCTATGACCGCGTTTATATCATTCTATGTTCCTTCAACAAGTGGAACTTCAAAAAGAAGTTACAGTTAAACGACTAAGCTCCCGCCAACGTTTTCTCTGCAACCTTGTACCACTCACAGTCACCGGTGAAACTTTTCGATTGTGACATCTCGAAAACTTGAAGATTCTCTCTCGTCTTTCGTTTCTAGAAACGTATCCTAACTTCTTCTATACATATCTATTCAACATATCATTAATTAATTATTTTATCAAGCGCTCATAAAAAAACTAACGATCCAAATTTTCTCTCACTTTTCAAAATGAAAATTCGTTAAAGAAAATTATTAAAAACCCATAAAAATTTCATAAAGCAAAATTTTCGAACTCGAGGAATTTTAAAAAATTCTGAATTCGCGAGCGATCAAAATATATCGAGGAACGAATCTCTCTGCTCGAACTAATTAATCGACGAGAAGAGGACGTTCGAGACCGATATACACTGGACAAAACTTCCAGCCTCGAATATCCTCGCGAGATTACATAAATGCGGCGCGTTTATTCAAAGAGGATCAATCGTCCGGATAATCCGGCATCCGTTGAAACTTCCGGCAAAGTTTCTGCGAATCCGCAGCCACGTACGAAACAACAGGGAAAGAGAGAGGGAACGGGAGCGAGAAGCGAAGCGGGAGGTGGAGAGCTCATGAATGAACGAGTACGCGGCAAGTTTCCAGCGTGCTCGAAACAACATGTACCGGGGATCCATTTCTTAGCGCGACAACGGGAACGATCGCGCGACCGTTTTCAAACTTTCAAGGGCTGAAACTTGGTGGTAATGGCGACTGCGCGCACACGTATATACACACGTATGCATTGGAAAAAATTGAAACGTTCGCACGATTCACGGAACGTGGCAACTATTCGGCAAATTATTTATCGCGTGCGACTTCCGGCTGAACCTATTTTGTTTCGTAACCGGTTGAATTTACGGAGGAGGTTATTCTTGGTGTTAGGTCGAGGTCAAGCGGTCGAAAGTATTTTCGGTCGGATTGGTCGGATCGGGTT